TTCTCCCCTTCACCCCCCACCACAGATGGGACTCCCCAAGCTCCCCCTGCCAGTCAGCTGAGCTCCGTCCCTGCACAGAAGCTTGGAGTCTCAGCGCAGGGCTCACTAACGAACTGCACAGTTGCGCAGCTTACAGGGAACTTAGCTCCTAAACTCTCCGTTCCACCCCTCAAGCCATCCCTACTACTTCCTTTCTTGGTTACAGTGGATAGTGCTACTTGTGTTAATTTTCAAGGCCCTTCATGGCATATTCCCATCTTCTCTAGAATCATAGAACTGGAAGGGACCTCGAGAGGCCATCGAGTACATCCCCTGCCCTCGAGGCAGGACCAAGCACTGTGTAGATCATCCCTGACAGGCGTCTTTCTAACCTGCTCTTAAATATCTCCAACAATCTTTTTTTGGTTATTGAGATGTTAACTTTTTCATCTCTCAACAGCCCGTGGTGCCAGTATCCATTTCCCATTTTGTGTTCCCTTTTCATGCTGCTTTTCACACTCAGGAGGAGTTCTCCATAAACATCCACAAAACTAATGACTTACCCTCCTTCAAAATCCTCCTCAAAATTTTCCTGTGCCTTGAGATCAACAAAAAACATGACAACGGTTAGGCTCTGGGCTGAGCCTTATGTTGATCAAAATTGGCTCATTGTTTCCTTGTACTCTGTCTATATCCATCTCTTGATTTTTAAATTGTGAGCTCTTTGGGGCAGGGACTGTTTGTTTTGCTTGCTTTCTTGTTTGTTGGTGCTTAAGTACTGCTGTAATTCATTCTCTCCCCCCTCCCCCTCCCCCAAGTATAAGTTACGTTAGGTCAGAAACTCTTATTAAGGTGCTAGGACTTTACACTTTCTATTTCTAGGTGACATTTGTATGTCTAGAACTTATGACAGTAGTTGCTCTGAAGTGCATGAGTAAGAATTAGGCCCATAATTCTTGATTCTGCAAGACTTGGGTCCTTAGAGACTACCAATGGGGTTAATGCAAGTAGCTATAGGGTTCTTTCCCTTTCATCTTAGAAAGTTCTGTGAGACTAAGAGGATTATGTATTTAACACAGTTTTGGAAGTTTTTTATGTCCTATTACAGTGGTCACCAACCAGAAGATCGGGATTTACTAGTAGATCTTGGCGCCTCAGACAGGTGATCCTGACAGCTTTGGCCACGAAGTTATCAATCCAGCACTTCAACTGCCCTTCCCCTCCCCCAATTGCTGCACATCTGCTGCACATCTCCTGCCCTTTGCCTTGGAGCTGTCCCCTCAGGAGCCTCTGCTTTTTGTGCAGGGCAGGAGAGGAAGAAGAGGGGGTGCTGATGTCAAGGTGTTCCACTCCCACCCTGTATCCTGTCTCCACAGAGCAGAGAGGGGGAACAACAGGACTTGGGATGGAGTTTTCTGGCTGCTTTTGGGAGTGGTGCAGAGTCAGGACAGGGGTGAGCCTGCTTTAGCCCCCCTGCATCACCACCAAAGAGCCACCTGAAGTAAGCAGCGCCCACCTGGTGCCCACATCCCGAACCCCTACCCCAGTCATGAACTCCATTCTGCATCCCAAGTGCCTGCCCTAGCCCCAAGCACCTCTACATCCTAACACCCTCCCATAGCCTGTACCTAGAAACCCCTCTGGTACCCCAACTGCCAGACCCAGGCTCAGCTCAGAGCCCCTCTCATACTCCAGATTCCTTAATCGAAGACCAGACCCTCTGCCCCAGACTGTTGAAAGTGAGGAAGGACAGGGGAGGGAGGATGGAATGAGCAGGAACGGGGCCCTCACAGGAGCACAAAGGAGAAGGGGCAAGGGTATTTGGGTTTGAGGTAGATCTTGGATTGCACTTAAAGTCAAAAAGTGATCTTGTGCTTAAAAAGTTTGGAGACCACTGTCTTATTATAATTGCTTGCTATTGCATTTGTTTTCTTTAATTACAGTAATAGCTTTTTCATTTAGTGACAAACTTCCTATTTTAATACATTTATATGAGTTTACTGAATGTCAGAAATAATACTGTCTTTAAAATGACAGTTCTAAGTGTAATGCTGATGCATTTGCTTCAACTAACACTTTATTTTAATAGCTATGTAGGTACCTTTTAAAATTTATCTAACTGTTCCTCAGTAGAAAAGGCTCCACTGCTTCTAACAAGTGTTACAAAATAGCATCTTACGGGGCAGCTGAAAGACTTGAAAATAAATTAAGCACACATTATGTTCCTAAGTAAGAACATTTATTGCATCATTACAACAGACTAAAGAAGAAAGCATGCTACTCAAAAGTCAGTATCCTTGCTTGGAAATAGGTATACGGCTTTAAAGAGCTGACTGTTCTGGACTGTTTTGGTTTAATCAACAGTTGCAGCTATATTCTGTCTGACAAAACTAGTAGGAATTACCGATGTTTACAAAAATTACAAACCTCCACTGTTGGGAGCTTTTGATAATTTAGAACACAATATTAACTGTTGTGTAATTTTTACAACTTTCTTTAATAATTCTAAATACTATAGATTCTGCTATATAGCAACCATGAGAATAACATCTTCCATTTAATAGAAACATATTGCCAGGAACCAGTTCATTCTATTATCATCCGTGGATTTGGATGTTAGGAACTGGTATGTCACTGAAGTAGCAACTGTTTTAGAGGAGAGGTCCATCCTATAATCAGCTTCCAGGCTCTGAGCATGTACAGCTAAACTTCTGTGTGCCATGGTTTCCAAAAGCATGTGCCTATCTCTCGTCAATAGAGTTTGGCTGCTAGAGGCCCTGCGTGATCACTGTCCTATGCATGTAAGAATGGCTGAAAGGTTTGATGTCTCCAAAATCCAAGTTATGCTTTCAAACAGCCATAACCTTTACCAGGAACAGCACGTACTGAGGCTGTAAATGTCAGTGTTATGGGAAGGAAACAGATGTTGGTGAAGACCTGTGGTTCTGGTTTCAGCATATGCTTGGACAAAATGCTCATCTCTCTGAAACAGAAAGTGAGTCAACTGGTAGCAGAGAAGTTCAGTCCTGCAGATGGCTTAGTTGGAAAGTCCACCACAACATGGCTTAGTTGTAAGAGCATGGCAGACAGATACCTTACACAGCATTCTCAAGTAGTTTCATATACATGAAATCTTTAGTGCTGACTAGTCTCTTTTATCAGGGCATTCCCAGCAGAGGCCTTGGCATTCTGACAGAAGGGGTTGCAGGAATGTGAAAAAGCTATATACCACATCATATTGCTGTGTTATACAAACATGGATGGGACAGAGAAATGGCCTATAATGATCAGAAAGGGCAAATCCCCCAGGCTTCTCTAAGGACCACTCAGAGCTGCCTGTGATCTACAGAAACTCGGCCAATGTATGGATGGATGACAAGTTTGCTCCTTGAAAAGTTGCTTAAGAACTGGAACAGGGAACCTCTGGCACAAGATCGCTAGATGTGCCTCTTATTGACATTGCTTAGCACATTCAGCTGATGTAAAGCTATCACACTTTGTGTTAAAATTCTTGCTCCGATGAAGCCTTGATCATGTAGCCAATGAACTGTGTGCATCATTGCTTCTTTGGTGTTGACCCAAATCTACAAATAGTGTATGTTGTTAAAAACAAACAAAAAAAACCCTAATATTTATAAACGCACTTCACATCGCTAAGGAGTCCTGGGTTGCTGTTCTCCCATAGACTGTTCTAAGTGGCATTGGGAAGGGAGAGCTTATAATAATAACTGAAAATGATGGCTTGTGTACATCGATATGCTGGCCAATATTTCTGTTCCTATAAATTCTAACAGGAGAGGCGTTTAAAGCTGTTGTTGAGTTCGATAGTTAATTGGAGATGGAAGGTGAGGTTTCTGATGCTGAACTTCTGGAAATTATAGTGGTTGTAAAGTGTCAATAGGCCAATAAGGCACAAGGGCATCATGAATCGTGCATCATATGGTGAATCCAAAGAGGCTTCCCTCACAGAGCAGCTGGTGGATGTTTTTTGCAGGTTATTCCAGAGTTGTGGCTTTGAGAACTGTTGAAACTGCGTGCAAAACTGAGATGGATTTATGGGTGGAGATGGCAAACAGTAGAAAGGGACAACTTTTAAGACCTTTGCAGTAAAATATCTTGTCCACTTTTATTTGTGGCACACGAGCACTGCAGAAACAGTATAGTTCAGCATACAGAGAAATTGTAAGTGTTTCTTAAATTTTAATTTTTAAATGCTTTTTCTTTATCATTGTGGTACTTAGCAAGTGGAGATTTCATACGTTTTCTGTATGTGGAGTTGGCGCACTATATAGCGTATCCATTCCTGTGTATCAGTGTTTAGTTTTTTCGTTTGTCCTCAAAGTGAATAAGCGGTTTCATAATTGTACAATGTATTACTGTTCTGTACTTGGTTTTTGTGTATTCCCCTGAAAACAGTGCTTTCTACATATTGGCAACATCTGGATAATAGCAACTTTTTGATGGGAGCCAACAGGTTGCTGTGAAGTGAATTCTATTATATCTATAATAGACAAATAATTTTCTTTCTGATTTCCCAGCATCTAGTCACATATTTTAATGGTTACATTTTTTGTTTTCATGTTGTACAGATAGAAGAGTGCTGCTAAAATATTATTTAGTAACAGACTTGACTTATTTCACATTTGAGGTACAAAAATAAATGTAAATGTAGTTTACTTCATTTTAGTCATGAAGAAATGCAGTAAGATTGGCATTATTGCTTTCTCCATGTAAATGATTCACTTGTGAGATGTATTTTACTCTCTTCTGTCATCACTAATCATAATGCTTTTTAGCTTATTAGATCTTAATTTGATTTACATAACATTAATTCTTTAAAGCTAAGATTCTTGATGAGCGACTATTATTCAGCTTTTCCTGGTGTTATCCAATTCTTTGACTAACATCTTTAAATATTTTTGTGTATTTCTCTTTTCTGAAGAATAATATAACATTCTGGAGTAAATATTGCTGTTTGAGGGAAGTGTTTTTTAATGTCTGCCCCTTTCTATCTTTTAAAGAAAGTACAACTTTCACTCTTGACTGAAAGAGGAATGGGTGAAGCAGTGCAGGAGTTTGTTGACAAAGAAGAGAAAGATGCTATAGAAGAGTTGGTGAAATTTCAATTAGAAAAAACACAGCGGTTTCTTAAGGAACGTCACACTGATGCAGAGGAGGCAAAAATAGATGAGGAGGTGGGTACTAAATTACTCTGTTCTTCTAATTAGGTGCAGCCTAGATTGTAGCTCAATATTGTGGTCTATTGACAGTTTTGTGGATGTTTTGAAGCTTGCACAACACCTTTCTCTAGCCAATCCCCTCATTCCTTCACTTTCACGAGCACACAAAAAAGTTAAATATTTAGCTTAAAAGTAGCTTAATCTATTTTTAAAATTGTATCTTGTAATCTGATATGTTGCTTCTTACTCCATTTTATATAGTATTTTAATCTACTATATATTTGAGTTTGTCTGTATCTGCTCAAGATCTTCTAAACCAGTATACAGCCTCCTCCAAATTCAGCTTCTTATCATAACTTAAAGCGAGGTAAGGGTTTGGTGGTGTGAGGAAAATGGGATGTTCCTGGAATGGGATCGCTTTTCATAAAACCATCTAGAAAAGAGACAAAAATCACCAGGCAGGTAAAAGGGGCTGAGTGGGGGTGCCCCACTTTCTACCCTGTCTCCAGGGGACTGCCCTAGCCTCCCAACCCCCAGGCACCCTTTTCGGAGGGTAGGGGGAAGTGAAGCTCCCCCTTGTTCTGATTCATATAGGGACATAGTTGGCTGTTCCCCTTCGTCAGGGAGCAAGGGGAATGTACAGTTTGCTGCATTCCACGCTCTGGCTGGGGAGCAGACGGACCTGGACCAACCTCAACCGGGGGTCATTCACCCCTCCCCTAGCTGTGCCCACTGGAGCTGTAGTGGCTGTGGACAAGTGACACAAAGCCGGGATAGCATTCACTCTGTTCACTTGTTGTGTTGCAGTGATTTCTACTGTCCTGTACCATTCTGTGTAATGTGTGTGTGCCTCAGTTTCCCTGGGCACTGCACTACTATGGGGATGGGAATTCTGGGTGTGACTCATTCAGAGAGGATGCTATGGCCAGCATGTTCACATGGCCTAAGCTCTCTTGTAACCTGAGCCTGGAAGGGGTGTGTGGCCAGGTGACACCTTTTCCCAAGGAATCTGGAAAAAGGAGGAGGCGAGGCTGCCTGCAGGAATGGAACTGCTTGCTGAGTGTGAGTTAGTCTTGTCTGGCTTGGGATACAGGGAGGGGGACCAGAGCCCTGGTTTTGCCCCCTCTTCCAGATGGATTGTACTGACTGCTTCTGGTTCCTGTGCTAACAAGTCTGTTCTATACTGTATCCCTGTGAACCAATATACTTTCTATTCTACCTGTTGTCTGATAGTCACATTTGGCTGCAGATGTGAGTGCAAGGCCCGGTGACTCTCCACACCTCCGTGACAGGGTACATTGCTGGCTGTTCCCCTTTGTCGGGGAGCAAGGGGAAAGTGTGGTTTGCTGCATTCCTCACTCTGGCTGAGGAGTACAGAGGGCAGACGAACCTGGACCAGCCTCAGCCAGGGGTCATGCCTGTGTCCACTCAGCCTGTGTCCACTGGAGCTGCAACAGTTGTGGACAGGTGCTTCTCGCTTGGTCCCAGAATGCTACGGTAGTCCTCTCACCCCAGGGCAGCTGCATACTGAACCTCTCGATCCCATCCCCATCCCAGAGCAGTGATTTAAATGAAGAATGTACATTGTGAGGTTGGCTAACTCAGTTGTTGGAGCGTCAGACTTTTGGGAATTGGACTTGATGACCTCTTGTGGTCTCTTCCAACCCTAGGATTCTATGGTTCTATGATTTTCATTTTATTTTCCAAAAAAACAAATATTAATTTGAATTAAGGATCTGAGCAACACCAGGTAAATCTTCTAATTGTTCATAATAGAATCTTGTGCATATACCCACATGTACACAGATTTGTCATTTGTTAAGTGTAGGCCACATGTACCTTAAGCTCAGCACAAAATTGACCACTGGCATTTAACAATAATATTTGGAGTTGCACTTGCTCATGCCAGTGGCAGATTTGACCATTGGTTAAAACAGCAGCAGCTTGTTGCTTAGTTTGACTTGAAGATTTTTATTTTAAACAAAGCAGTGGGTCTAGATGCATATCTATGATGCCAGTTTTCTCTCCCCATTTCTTTTTCTCTTTCATCTCCTTCTTACTTTCACTTCTATTTCCCTTCTTTATTACTCACTTCTACACTTGTTTTTTTCTGGCATTTACTGTACTTCTTCATAGCCCACTACTTCTTGTTACTCTGTTAACCCATTGTCTGTCACACTTGCACTATGCATCTCTTGTCATAGTTGATCTTACTGACTTCTCTCAGTTGAGTTGACAATTCAAGTGTCAAAGGGGTAGCTCTGTTAGTCTGTAACTTGAAAAACAAGTAGTCTTATGGCTCTACTATGGAGATTAACCAAACTGTATAGAATCATGAACTTTCATGGATGATTTTGCCCACAAAAGCTCATGAAACAAAAAAAGAGAAACAGGAGGGAAAAATAAAAGCTATTGCAACTGAGCTTCACCATTCTGGCTGTCACCCCCTCTATTTTTCTGGGACCTCAGTACTTCATTACCATGATCTAGAGAGGTGTCCTGACCAAAAGACAAAGAAGAAAAAGGAATCTGGGTGACATCACCACTTCAGTGGAGCTTTTCTGTTGTTTACTGTCTACTTCTAAAGGGAAAGAATAAGAGATGCTACTAAAATGAAAACCTTATTTAATAAACAGTTAAAGCAATTGAAATATTTTACCTTCTTTTTGTGTGTGTCTAATAAAAATGTAAGAGGATTTTTAATACTGTGTTTGCTATAGTGCTAAACAAGTTAAGGTTTCTGTAAACTAAGCCCAGGACCTTGTTTAACACTGTGCAGTATTAGATAGTGATGCCTTTTGCCTATATAGTCCATCTAAAGTGATCCACCAGCTTTCCTTTCCACCTCATATCAAGTGTGTTTTCAGCTGGTGCTGAGCTTTAGTGCTCTCATTTCATGAAATATGAGATTCGTTGGCTGCAATGTTGGCTTCTCTTCCTCCTATGGCCTTTGAACATGTTGTTGGGCATCCTTTGCTCTCATGCTACTTTGGATTCTCTGAGAATAGCACCAGCCGCAAGATTTTCTTTTTCTAAAGATGCACATTGCTGGGTATGAGCCAATATCTAATCATGCCAGTAAGCAGCAGTGGTACTGCAGACATGCTTTGAGCCCTGAATCTCTGGTAGTGGTTTCTTTTTACTAAGGGATGGACTCAGTCAGACTGTTCTATATTACTTGATTTTTCTTATTTGCTTCTAAAAAAGAGGTTTAGCTAAATCTTATGTATTCTGGAGCCTCCCTATTACAAAGATATCTCAAATGTATTGCTTGTACCTGGTAATGTAATTGTTGCTCATTACAATTAGCAAAGCCTTCCTGCCAAAGGGTTGAACAGTGAAAATGCTGTTCTATTCCTGTTAAAAATAAATCCAGTAAAAAGAACAGGCATTCAGTTGATTTTTAGAAAAAAATCTAAGTTTAAAAACAGGAATACTTTTCTTGGCATTTTTGTGTCTTCGGATATTGTACAGTACAAACTACTAATTTGATTGTATATTTTATATTATTGTGATCTAGGTGCGAAAATTTAGGGAGACCAGAAAAGAGAATATTGAAGAGGAGGATGAGGAAGTTCGTGAGGTAATTCCCATAAAACACAAATGTAGGGTACAGGATATATGTCTATATTGATGTTACATGAGTAGAGGATTGTCGTCTTCTATGGGTGTGGAATAGAATACATCATAGATACATTCTGTATCATCCAGGCCTAATTGTTTAAGAAGGATGAGAGAATTCCGTGACAAGTCTTATTGATTTCTGACAGGTCCCACATGATCTTGTGTTGGATGCAGATTTGCAAATCACCCGAAAATATCTTTGTGTATTGAGTGTCCTCAAAGTCACAGCATGCTTCTGGTTGAAAAATCAAACAGAAAACATATTCTGAGTCTGGATGTTTGGTTTACAGTTCCCTTTAGATAACTATATAAATAATATTTTTTATTGTTTTTATCTCTATAAAGCCACCAGAGTTTATTTAGAAAAGATAAAAAGGTAAAAATTCCAGATTATATTGCTGTTCATCTGGGCCAAACTAAACAGCTCCCATGTAGAAGACAAGCTTATGGAATAAATTCTATGCTTCAGTATATCTCCTTAGCTATGCAGCACTAAGCTGCTGTCAAAAAACTGAAAAGAAATCTAATATCCTTCTGTGAAACAAAAACAAAAAGCCTCCCCAGTAATTGCAAAACCATTTACATAAAGTGTCAGTTTAATAGATTCCAGGACTTCACTTACTAGGCATCTTAATGTAGGTTTTATGCATGCGATTATGTCCCAGGAAGAGAGTCCATATAAGCAAATTATACATGGTAAAGTGGATATTTATGTTTGAATGTCTTTACAATTTACATAATTATTGATAGTTGCTTAATTATCATGCAACTAACTGAGGGTATGTCTACACTACCCTCCTAGTTCGAACTAGGAGGGTAGTGTAGACATACCCTCAGTTAGTTGCATGATAATTAAGCAACTATCAATAATTATGTAAATTGTAAAGACATTCAAACATAAATATCCACTTTACCATGTATAATTTGCTTATATGGACTCTCTTCCTGGGACATAATCGCATGCATAAAACCTACATTAAGATGCCTAGTAAGTGAAGTCCTGGAATCTATTAAACTGACACTTTATGTAAATGGTTTTGCAATTACTGGGGAGGCTTTTTGTTTTTGTTTCACAGAAGGATATTAGATTTCTTTTCAGTTTTTTGACAGCAGCTTAGTGCTGCATAGCTAAGGAGATATACTGAAGCATAGAATTTATTCAAAAGTCCAGTGTGAAGTATTTTTCATTTATGCAGGGTACATTTATGAAACACACAGACCACAAAAGAATGGCCTAACAGGAGCTACTTATCCAGTCATACATATGACTAGCATTGTTTGGGAGACAGCGCCATCAAAATAACCAACCTCAGATCCATAAGATTTAGATAAACAATTGCAAATTTCAACTCGGTTATGAGTGCCAGAGCAGTCCCAGAAGCAGTAAATCAATATCCCTATTGATGAACTAAATTTCAGGCAGATATTAGAATCTAAATGTTGACAGTGTTGTAGCTTATATGAATACGTTTTTTAAAAAGGTAAATTTCTTGATTTATTTTTCTTCCAGTGTGTGGAAGCATATGATGGGTTTGGGTTGGGTTTTTTTGAGGTGGTTTATTCAGGAGTGTGTGAGGTGAAGGAGATCACATCTCAGTTTTTCTTTAGTCCTTCTGCAGAGCTGTTCAGAATCTAATGTCCATTTATTTATAAAAAGGAAAATGTCTATTTGAGCAACATGTAGTTGGGTTCACCACCATAGAATCAGATATTTCTGGTAACTTCTAGATTTGTCAAAATCAATACTTAAGTTTGCAATAAGGTGCAATATAAATCTACTCCACAAGAGGCTAGCTGTGCTTAAAGTTCCCCTAGTATGTGTTTTGATCTGTCCTGCTTTGAAACCGGAATAAAGATTACAAGAAGTTCCCTAGTGCAAAGCAGCAGCATCCACACAGATTCATAGCATGTGGCAGGCTAGTGAAGGGTAGATTTATACTGCAGCTTTCAGTGAACTAAAGGGGTTGTGTAGTCAAGTCCTTTCAATGGGCAGTGCTGAGCTCTAGCTGTAAAAGTGTTGCCAAGGCTAAATCCCCACTCTGGCACGATGAATGACAAAGTGGGGGCCTGCAAAAGTACCCCGGAACCTTATCTTTCCAGGCTCTGGCATAAAACTTCCCCTCCAAAATCTTAAAAACCTAGATTTTGGGGATAAAAATCTGCTGCCACTACCCAAGTAATGGTAAGAAAACCAGGGAAGAGATCACTTGGGAAATCTCAGCCCTAAAATAAAACCAGGACACACAATACCAGGTTAATAAAAAAGAAAGAACTTTTAATATCACCACAATACTCCTGTTACAAGCATAGCTGGATTGACTAAATGGTAAGAGCCACCAATTAATAAACTCACGGGGAATTTTTCCATGGGGAACAAAACTTAATTACAAAAGAGAGAAAAACCTGTTTCTAAATACAGACATCAGATTCCCATTCCCAAACCATAAAACAATAAAACCGAACGGATTTATCTAAACTTTGCCCTACTTACAGATAGTGAAAAGTCTTTTCTTGGAGAGAGACATTTTGTCTGTTCCCCTCAATATCTGGAGAGAAACTGCCCAGAGACAAAGGAGGGAAAAAACAAAAAATCCTTTGTCCCAGTTTGAAATCCCTATCTGCAATTCTATTGGCTGACTGCTACCTGGCTTAGGTACAGCTAAGCCCTTAGTCTCCAGGCTGCTGGCTATCCCTCATGACCATGACAAGTGTGCTTCAGGCTAGTGAGGTAAAAAGAACAAATACCACCAAGTTAGGCCTTTTTGTGTCCTATAGTTCTAATTTATAGTGTAGATGGGAAGCTAGCCCTGTACTTTTTTGTGGACTAAATTCTTCTTATGCCCTGTACTTTTTTGTGGACTAAATTTTCAAAGATTCTTAAATGACTTAGGATGCTAAGTCCCATTGAAAGTTAGTGGACATTAAAGTCAAATAATTGTAAGGACCATAATAATAGCACCCATGTCTTGTGTGTTTTGACATAAACTTAAATCTTAGTTTAACTATAAATTAGAATATGGACCAGGGGATCACAGTGCAGACAAGGTCTAGTGGAAATCTAGAAATGCCAAATTAACTTTCAGTATGGTTCTTCTCATCTAACTATTTCAATGAACTTACACAGATGTAAGTGATAGGATAATTGGACTCTTAACATTTATTTCTTTTTAAAAAAGATTGAGTCCCCTCATTCAAGATCCCATACATCTTTAACCTAAATGTAACATCCCTAGAATAATCAGCTAATCGATTAGTTGATGGAAATTCCATCGACTAGTTGATAAGCGGGGGAGTGGCAGCAGGGTTAGCTTCCAACCCTGGGAATTAACCTCACTGTGGCTCTGCCTTTTAAATGTATTAAGAGTCTCTTAATACATTTAAAAAGCAGAAAGCACAGCGGGGGAGGATCCAGCGTGAGCTGGGACAGCTGATCCCCAACTCATGCCGAGTTCCACCTGCTGCGCACCAGCCTTTTAAATGTATTAAGAGCCGATAGGCTTTTAAATCGGTTCCCCCCAGCCTGATAGAAGCAGCAAGTGGGGGGAAGCTACTAGGTGAGGGACTGGTCGACTATCCAATAAGCTTATGCTTATTGGGTAGTCGTCTAATTTCAGAGGAGAAGTGAGATAAAGACACAATGAAAGGGAAATGAAAATTGTTTTCTCTCTCCTTTAAAAAACAGAAATCACAGTACTTGGGTGTGTAGAAACTGCTGAGCTATTCAGATACCGTCTCCCTTTTCTTTTCTTGTATTAAGCCTTAATGGCCATCTTTCTTACTCAGTTTTTGCTGAATTTAATGGACGAATATGCATATTACCTCTTGGAGAAAGCTGTTTTCTCTGTTGTGGATTGGTTGACTTGGTATTGCATTTCACAATTTGGTATAACGTTTTTTTTAAAAGTTCTTTGTTTATAAAATGCTTCATTCCCATTCAGTCTTGGCTTAATATGCAAATTGGAACTGCATCAAAATGACTAGGAAAGAGGCATCTGTTTTCTGACTGACTTCCATCACCATTGAATTTGACCCTAAATCTGAGTACTTATAAACATGTCACCAATTTCACCCTGGTTCATTTTACTATTAAAATTAAATATTCTGTATAACTTCTTTCAGGCTATGACCAGGGCTAGAGCTCTTCGATCTCATGAAGCTGGTCTTGCTTCTGGCTCTAGCGATGATGATCTTATGGATATGGGAGCATCAGAACAAAAAAACGATGATTCAGATGCTGGCAGCACTGTACCATCCAGCAGAGGAAGAGGTCGAGGAAAGGGTCAGGCAAGAGGTGGAAGAGGGCAGAACTTAGCATCAAGAGGAACCTCTCGAAGAGGAAGAGGTCAGTATTTTTACATTCTTATACTTCAGTTAATAGAAGTTGTCCCTTTTTACAAAAAGACCTTTTCTTTAATGTGCTCCTAAGTTATGCTATTGTTGTTTAATCAGGTTCCAAATATAATATTATTTTTATTTCCAACGTTTTTGGACTAGTTACTGCAGTGTCTTTCCAACTTACAAAAATTAATTTCAAAACCTCAGTATTTCAAAAGAGGGGAAAAATACCATGCTCCTATGTAGTAGTTGTTTAGCAGTCTCTTGAAGAAGCCATGTGCAGAGAGGTCTTAATCTTGGAAATGAGGACTTTTTTTTTTTTTTTAATAACCAAAAATATCAAATCACCTACTAGTCTGGTTGTAATTGATTGTGCACTTTAATGGAGTTGCACTCCTTGTTAAGTCTTTTAAAAAAAGGCTCCAGTGACAGGACAACTTAGGGACATAGGGTAGCTAGTCTCAGCTGCCACCTGTTTTCCCTCAGCTATGCTATTTTCTGCTCACTAGTTTATGCAGACCTTTGGTTTTAGACCTTTTGGTGATTTGTTTCTTTAGAACCGTGGTCACCAACCCGTCAATCACGATCGACTGGTCGATATGGGGGGGGCATGGCCAGTTGATCGCGAGGCAACCAGCCCTCCCACCCCCGTCATTTCCTCCCACCCCAAGAAGGAGCCTGCGCTGGCGCTACCTCCTGTGAAAATGGGGGTAGTGCCAGCTGCCTACTGCGTGGAGGGAAGTCCCGCAGCTTTATGCCAGAGCTGGCATGTCAGGAAGCATGCGCGCTGCTCTTCCCCTCCCGCAGATAGCCAGCGAATTTCCTGAAATGCCAAGTCTGTCGCGCCGCTGGAGACTTCTTTCTCCCTGCTTTCATGCACAGGAGGGGGGCGGATGGGGTAGGTGTGCAGGGACTGCGCGTCCGCTCCAACTGCTCAGGAAGCAGACACTGCCATAGGGAGTGGAGGAAAAATGTGCACACTTCCTGAGCAGTTGGAGCTGGCGTGCTGTCCCTGAACTCCTACTCCTCCCTTCCCCGCTCCCCGTTCCCTCCCCATGCAGGAAGGCAGCAGGGGGCAGGAAGTTCCCGGTGGCATGACAGACCCAGCTTTTCAGGAAGTGTGCCGGCTGTTTGGGGAGGGGGGAAGCAGTGCATGTGCTCCCTGAGACCCCGGACCTGACACACAGCTGCGGGATCCCCAGGTACCAGCTGAGTTGTCTGTCTCCTCCCCCTGCCCAGAGACCTACGAGTCCCCATGCAGGAAGGCAGCAGGGGGCAGGAAGTTCCCGGTGGCATGACAGACCCAGCTTTTCAGGAAGTGTGCCGGCTGTTTGGGGAGGGGGGAAGCAGTGCATGTGCTCCCTGAGACCCCGGACCTGACACACAGCTGCGGGATCCCCAGGTACCAGCTGAGTTGTCTGTCTCCTCCCCCTGCCCAGAGACCTACGAGAACCCACCAGCACCCTGCTCCCTGCCCCAGCACCCTTCCCCTTGGCCAGACACCATACAACACCCTGTCCCGGCACCCTGCCTCCTGCCCCTGTCCCACCAGCACCCTGCCTCAGCCCCCACCAGCACCCTTCCCCTGGGACAGACAACACACAGAACCCTGCTTCCTGCCTCAGCACCCATCTCCTGCCCAAACCCCCACCAGCACCCTTCCCCCTGGCCAGACACCATACAGCACCCTACTCCTGCCCCAGCTCCCACCCACACCCTGCCCAGGCCCCCACTAGAACCCTGTTCCTGTCCCCTGACCAGGGCCCCACCCGCACTCTCCTTCTGCCCCCTGGCGAGACCCCATCCAGCACCCTGGCCCAGACACCCACCAGCACCCTGCCTCTGTCCCCACCCTCGTGGCCAGACACCTACCCCCATGCTCCTGTACCCCTTTTTCCACCCAGATTCTGTAACCCCACCTCTATCCCACTCACTGGCAGCCCTGTCCTGCAACCTTGATCCCTCATTTTTGGCCCCACCTCAGAGTATAGAGAAGCCCACAAATTCCACTAGCCCTGGAACCCCAAAAGAGTTAATCTGGCCTAAGGCCTTGAACCTCAGTCCTACCTACCCTCCCCCCCCATGGGGCTGGGATGCCAGCAGAGGGAGGTGTCTTAGTCGGGGCCACATCAATGAGGTTTGGGGGGGTTTGGAGGGTTTGATTTTTTTGCATCTCACTTGTGTGGTCCGTGACTGATTTTTTTTTTCCTTGTGAGTCAGTGACCTCTGACCCAAAACAGGTTCCCCACCCCCCATAAATAAAGACAATGCTGAAAAGTTTGTGTTGGACATAATATTTTATTTAAAAATAAAGCCTGGCCAACAAGCCCCCAGTTGCGGCCAAACCGCCATCTGGCTGCAGCATCATAACACCCCTGCATCCCCCCACACATTCCAACCCTGAGCCTATCATACACCGGAACCCCCTGTCCTGAGCCTCTCACATCCCCAGTCTTCTGCCACAACACTACTGCACCATCCGCACACTGCAAATCTTTGTCCTGAGCCCATTATACTCCCAACTCCCTGCCCTGAGTCCCCAACCTGAACTCCTGCACCCTCACATCCACAAGCATATGGCTTGCTCAGCACCCCAACACTCTCTAGCCTGGAGCCCCCTCCCTTTCACCCCTTCCCACACCCAAATCCCTCATTCGCACCCCAGAGCCCACACATCCTGTCTCAACCCAGTGAGAGTGAGTAAGGGCTGGGGACAGCAAATGATGGAGAGGAGCAGAACTGAGAGGACGGGGCCTCAAGAAAAGGGTGGGTTCTTGGGAAAGGGATAGGATAGATCTTGGCTTGCCTTGACATTTAAAAAGTCATTTTGGGTGTAAAAAGGTTGGAGACCACTGCTTTAGAATTTTATAATTAACAGAAAAATAGGGGGTAAATATTGATTGATTGTTATTCCTACAGGAATCGCTAGCCAAGACCTGTCTAACAGCAGTAGAACTCACAAGCATGTCGCTACACCTACCAAGAACATGTCTATCATAGATGGTAAGTTAAAATTGTTCTCCTTTTGCAGAATGCCATAATGAAATTAACAAGTTTTATGATGCAACCTTTGTTTCCAGTAGACCAATTCAACCATCACATAGGGCTTTGTTTGGCTGTTAATTAGGGATGCAAACTATTAGTGCGCTTTAGTTCAGTTGACTTCTTTTCCTACCCTGACTTTTATCTGTCATTTAGGAAGATTTAATTCATGGGGTTAATTGGTCTGCCTCTCTGTACTTTTGCCATCTGATGAATTCAGGTTTTCTCAAAGAACTTCCCCTTCAGATACAAAATGTGTCCAGAAAAATATATTTGTCAAAGCATCACAAATTGTGTCCCCCAAATAGATTGGCTAGTTCTGGGTTTGTGATTAAGCTTTTTCTTATAAAAGGGGACTAGGCAGGTGTTGAGCGAGAAGTGTCTCTTCAGGCCCTGGTGAGTAGGGCGGAAAATGACACAAGTAATAGTTAAGCACAAGCATAGTTAAGCACTAAAAGAAGGCAGCAACTTTTGTACCATTGGAGCTTTTTATAGAGATCATGACAGAAGCTATGTTTAGAGACCCGTGACCAGATCTTGCTCTTCGTTACTTTAGTGTAAATCTGGAGGATTTGATGAAGAAAGAAAATAGTAAACTTAGACTTTTATCCAGTGTCATTCAGATCATAATTGGGATCCTTAGAAATGAAGTGCTGTAAAAGCATTTTTCAGTTGCAGTTTTTTAAAATGTTCTATCTCAGGATCTCTGAAATAATTACACAGGGTTAATAATCTTCAAAATATATTCATTAAAAAGGTTCTTCTTAAACCCTTGTACTCCAAGTGGAGCATAGGTCATCTACAAGTCTCCTCCACTTCACTCTGTCTTGAGACAAAACTTCTAACTGACTCCAGGGGTACCCTAGTTGTTGTCCTTCAGTCTCAGTAGATCTTCTCCACTTTGTCCAGGTCTTCCTCTTTTGCGTTTTCCTTAACATTAAAAAGGTTGGGTTCCTATAAAAAGACTAAATGACCTTTTTTGGCAGATGTTATTTTAAAAGATAACTTTCAAAACTATATTAAAAATAAAGCTATGATGCACTTTCAGCTAGTTGTTTCTTGATTTGAAAATAAAGCTATGAGGCAGGAATCAAAGGTTAAGAAATGTTTCAGAGAAAAGCATTGTTCATGTAGCAGTACTGAATCCCTTCAGAACCTGTACCAATGAGGTGTTACGCTCAAACATCTGTAAAAGAACACAGCTTTGTTATCTGTTTGCAGTTTAAACAAAGCCAAGCTTATATCTCATATAAGGTAGCAAGGCAAATTCACCACAGTTCAGTGAAAGCAACTAAGAAGTTATTTTTTGTTTTAAGAGGTGGTAATTTCATTTCTTTAGTAAAGAGAAGAATGATTATTTTTACTGAAAAGAATCAAACATACAATATTTACCATTAAGAAATCAATATTTCCTCGCAATTCACACATTACAAGTATCAGATATACTGCAGGTCTTGCCTATTCTTAGTAGTATATAGCAAGACACTGAAACATATATCTCTCTAGGTTCTTTCCACACCAGCACTTTGTCTCAGATACACATTGGGCGGAACAGAGGGCAACAATTTATTTCAGTTTCATTGACTTGTGCTACAAAAAGTACAATAAAACTCTCTATTTCTAAAACCACGTGACTTCAACCCAAAAAATTGTCCAGAAAAATTGGACTTTTCAAACAGGAGCATAGTAATGTGAATATTGCAGTGTGTCAATAAAATGTTAATTTAGTTTGTATGCGTGGGTGTTTTCTCTAACCTCTAGGGTTATAATTTTCCCACCAAGAATAGGAGCTGTTGATAATATCAGAATTAGTTGCTATAGGCTTTGCCTTCAGTCATCATCCTGGGAAAAGCATAACCCTATTTTGTCTGAAATATTGTGGGAGAAATCATACAAAGTAAACTAAATCAAGTCTGCTTACCACACCTTTTCATTTGTACTTTGTAGTAGAACACATTTCAGTCAAAATGTTAAGGTGGGACCCTTGTACGGTATGGTGTGATCAGATAATGAAATGTGGACATTTCAAGTCCTTGCCAGAGGATGTTGTGAGATTAGGACTTTAACAGAGTTTAAAAAAGAGCTAGATAGATTCATGGAAGTTGGGTCCATTAATGGCTATTAGCCATGATGAGTAGGAATGGTGTCCCTAGCCTCTGTTTGTCTGGAAATGGGTGACATAGAGGGATCATGTGATGATTACCTGTTGTGTTCCCTCCCTCTGGGGCATCTGGTATTGGCCACTGTCGGCAGACAGATACAAGGCTAGATGGACCTTTGGTCTGACCCAGTATGGCCATTCTTATGTTCGTATGCTTTCTATATAATGTGGTCTAATCTGTTTTTATTTTAGCCTTTAAATCTTTAAGACAACAGCCATCTCGGAATTTTTCTGCTAAGAATTACTCAGAGGTGAGAAGCATATGTGTAAAGTTGTGTAGTACTACGTACGTGTGTGTGTGTGTGTGTGTGTGTGTGTGTGTCCATGCCTGCGTTACAAAATTCTATCAAGTCAAGTAAAATTGGCATACAGAGTCTGTAGTTACTACACCACTTATGTGTATACTTGGCTCTTGTATCAGCAGTGTATGAACTTACGGGAGTGTTTGTATCATTGCAGAATGTGGTGCACTATGGGTAAGCATCCCACTGTACAACTTGCCACCGTCCAGTGCACTGTCTTCGACACTTTGGCAATGTACGATAGGGCTGAAACGAGTCTCACAGAGAGGGCTAACTGGGAGCATCGGATCAACTTCCCAGTTTGCAGCTGTCTCCCTACAACTGTGTTCACCCTTAAGGGTCTGTGCTCATTGTCCAATACAGCACTGGGTTGCAGGATGTCAGTGAATATATCATCCCAAGTCCTGCTTTTCTTCTCCCCCCCCCCCCCCCCATGCTGCTCAGGTTTTCTGTGGGTGTGAAGGGAGAGACCCTGAATGTCACAATGGTAGCAGCTGCAGATAAAACTTAACGAAGTTCTCATTGTTAATATAGTCACAAAAGCATTTTGTGTTTCACCTTCTGAACTTGCTTCCCTTGCTTTCCTAAAGTTTTAAGCACTTAATTCTCACTTCTGCTTGGGATTGCTTGTGCATGGCCCTGTCACAGCACTTGCCATGGTGAGCATGGCCCACCAGGGTTGGGAAAATGCTGAGTTTCATGATTCTAGTAGTACATAGTACTGGCACAGTTTTCAATAGGCATAGTGATTTTAGCTGATATCTCATTCCTGAGGGTAACAAAGGCAGAGAGAGTACAGCTGCTGCAGGCATCCTGAAGCTAGCTAGCCCTATGTGCTGCTACTCTGTGCACTTCAATAGTGCCCGCTGAATATATTGCTGAATGACATGAGGAAGAAATGGGACAGCCCTCCCTAGAAACCTTTTGGAAGAAGAATTGCAGAATACTTCCATGAACATTTCATTGAAATCTCTCTGGAGGAATCACAGGACAACCTTGTGTACATAACCAAACTACTCGGAGTCATCTCCCCATCATTCTTCCAACTCTGGAGAGATAGCAACTCTGCTTCTCTTTGTTGTAATACTACCTCTTCTAGCACAATAAATTAAGGATAAGTCAAGTTATGTGTCCTACTTTAGGGGTACCATCCCTGTAATTTTAAAATTAAACTACATACTGACCCAGCATTGCTTCCCCTGTATTGGGCTTGTCCGTGCTTGACTGGATGGACTGTGACTGAGTCAAAAATTGGTTCTTGCTGGCTGCACAGCTGGAGCCCATAGTCACATCATCCCCAGATTCCTGCACCTCATTCTCTTCCACTTCTTCCCTACTTGGATTTCTCAGAGATGTCCATGGTTCTGAGAGGAGAAGGGGTGGTTGGCTCTCCTCCAGCTATGGCATGTACCTTTTTGCAAATATAGCAGCTCTGTGGCATGTTACTTGATTGATTGTTGACCTCTCTGACCTTCCGATATGCCTGCTGCAGCTGTTGGCTTTCATGCAGCACTGTTGCTGGTACCCATTGTACCAGTTCTCCCACATCCCCTAAGTCAAATCTGCTCATAGATGTTGACATTTAAAATATAACTCAAAGCTTTGCCTGCACCACAGATCCAGGAGATCCGATATCTTCTGTCTTCTTCAGACAAGAGTGTGTATGGAGCATGTAGATGCTATGGTCAGCTGGGCAGTTCCACTCAAGAATGGAGAGCTGCTAGATATGCTTGCCAAGCCAGGCAATCAGAAAAAGGAATTTCAAAAATTCATGGGTCTTAAAAGGGGAAACGGGACTTCTGGCCGCCATCATTCCTAGGCAATAGAGGTCAAAATAATGATGAGAGCGATCAGTGTGGGGCATCGTGGGACAGCTGCTGGAGCTGCATTTAAACTGCATTGACCTATGTACATCAACTATGACTCTCTGTCACTAAACTACATTTGAAGCCGTGAAGCACTTAAGAATGCAAGTAGCTCATACAGAGTCTTTTTTGTTTTTGTTTTTTATCCAGATTAAATTGTTTGAAGTTAGACATTCTAGAAAGCATTAAACAAAGAATAAAATAACTTGTGCACTGTAGCTGTTACTATATATTTAATCTCAAAAGAGTACATAATATACTACCTTCTGTAAAATGTACTGGTTCTTTTTCAGGACATAATAGATGATGACTCTGATGTGGAAGAAGTTTCTTTTACTGCTGCTTCGAAAGTTACTCAAAGGTTGGTATAGTTATTTCAAAATGGCTAAAGAGCCATTTAAGGATATGTAAGTCCCTCTGGAGTGGTATATATGAAAGAGCCTGTAGCACTATATTCCTCTGATTGTCAATAAAGAGTTGCATTAGCTGAAACTCGCTTTTAAAAATTTACAAGTTAATATTTAATTTAAAATGTGCTCAACTTTTAAAAAATAGAATAGTAGTTTAGAGAGTTCCTCTCCCCCCACCTTTTTTTGTTCATTTGAGACTTTCACCAACTTGCATTAGAAAATGCAGTTGAAGAACTTGAAAGTAAGTGTATGTTGCCATGATAAAGACCATGTATATCTTTTAAAGTATATGAATTACTAGACAGTTTTTCAGAAGTATTCAGTTCTCCAATTCACTCACCTTCTTGCTCACAAATAGGCAACTGGATAAGTGGCCAGATTTTTAAATAGGTCTTGGTACAAGGCAGCTCCTGTTGTTTTTGGAAGTGGTTATTGGAAGTGGATTTCTTCTGAAAGTGTAAACTCCTCTTCCTCTTTACAGGCAGTCCCCGGGTTACGTACAAGATAGGGACTATAGGTTTGTTCTTAAGTTGAATCTGTATGTAAGTCGGAACTGGCGTCCAGATTCAGCCGCTGCTGAAACTGACCGCCAGGGAGACGGGGGGGCAAAGCAGAGCCAAGCCGCGGAGCGCGTGGGCAGCGGATAACCCTGTCCGCTGCCCGCGTGTTCCACCGCTTTGCTTCCTCTCCGTGGTCTGCTGGAGACCAGGGAGAGGAAGGGCCCCGTTCGTAACTGCGGGGACTGCCTGTATAAGCAGTAATAAGAAGAGATCTTTAAAAATGTTAGGAGCATGAGGAAGACATCAGAAAGTGTTAGTCTGCTTAGTGAGGAAGAAGATCTGATGACATCAAGAAGGTCTGGGAGGTTTAATGCCTATTATGCTTCAGGTTTCATTAAAAAGATTAATGGTGACCAGATATTTAATACAATTATTCACAACACGAGGGAAGAACCCAAGACAAAATAGGAAAATAACAGATTAAAGAATATTGTGATAAATTAGGTAGATTCAAGTTAGTAGTACCTGATGAAATTCATCCTGGTTACATAAGATATTAACTGAAGCAAACTTGCAAACTTGGAACCATTAGTAATTATCTTCGAGAACCCTGGAGGCCCCAGAGGACTGAAGAAGACCTGACTTTTAAAAAGAGAATAAAGAATATGTGGGAAATTACAGATCAGTCATCCTAACTTCAATACATGGAAAGGTACCAGAACAATTTATTGAACAGTCATTTTGCAAGTGCCTAGAGGATAACAGAGTAATGAGGAACAGCCAGCATGGATTTGTGAAGAACAAATCATGCAAACTGAGCTTAAGTTTCTTCTTTGACAGGGTTACTGGCCTTGTGAATAGAAAGGAAGAAGCAGACCCGTTAGCCCCAGTCTACAGTAGGGAATTCTTTCAAAATAACCCCCCTTATTTCAAAATAATAAGCAGAGCGTCCACACTACCAAGCCTGTCATTTGAAAATAACAGGCTGGTTATTTTAAAATACTAACTCCTGCTTTCTTTGGGGAATAAGCTTATTTCAAATTCGTTATTTCAGGAGTTATTATTTCAAATGTAGATATTTCAAAATAATTTCGCAGGGGGGCAGCCCAGGCGCGCCTGGGCTGCTCCGCTGCCAGAGCCCCTCCGCGGCTTTGCTCCGTATCTTCCTGGTCTGCAGACCAGGGAGACGCGGAGCAGCTTTTCTTGCCCGGGAGTACACGGGCGGCGGGACCACGCGGTCCCGCAGTCCGTGTTCGTAACTGCTGATCCGACGTAAGTCGGATCCGCGTAAGTTGGGGACTGCCTGTACTAACAACCAACAGACTGCCACGTAAACAACCTTACTACTGAATTCTTTCACTAAAACCTCATTTACTACATGTTTTCAGAACTAATTCATACACTTAGCAACAGCCTATGAACACCATGATCTGGATTAACAAGATAATGGGGTCTACACACTACAGTATATTTTTATTTAGGTGTTGTCTGGCCAAATAGAGAAAACTTAGAATGTCTGGTTCTGGTTCCTTGCTCTATGATAATAATTGTATCCTGTTGTAACCCGTAAGGTCGTCAAGCATGTCTACGAGCACATCCAAAACCAGCAGAAGGAGCTCACAAAGCCAAGTAACTAGAGGGGTTGACTTTGAATCAGATGAGGTACAGTACCGTATGATTGTCTCTTGTCATAATTCTTACAACTTCATATTATCACTTTGCAAAATATTAGGGTGGTCAAGTGATTAAAAATTAATCAGTCACGCTGTTTAAAAATAATAGAATAGAATGTATTTAAATATTTTTGGATGTTTTCTATATTTTCAAATATACTGATTTCAGTTCCAACACAGATACAAAATACAATTCTCACTCACTAAAAAACAAAACAGTGTAAAGCTATAGAACCTACAAGTTCACTCAGTCTTACTTTTTGTTCAGCCAATCACTAGGAGAAACAAGTTTATTTACATTTATGGAAGATAATGCTGCCTGCTTCTTATTTACAATGTCACCTGAAAGTGAGAGCAGACGTTTGCAAGGAATTATTTTAGTTGGCGTTGCAAGATGTGTACTTGCTAAAGAGTCATTAATAGGCTGCATATTTAAAACTAATGGAATTACTTTTTCACACCACCTTTCAACTTCTTCTTTTTGCCATGGGATATTGTGAAGGCCAGAAGTATAAACTGGCTTCAAAAAAGAATTACTTTTAAGTTCATGGAGGATAGGTCCATCAATGGCTATTAGCCAAGAAGGTCAGTAAATCCACCCCATACTCCAGATGTACCTAAACCTTCAATGCCAGAAGTTGTCCCTGGACAACAGAGGATAACTCATTTAAAATTGAGCTTTTCTTTTAATTCCCTCTGAAGCATGTGGAATTGTCAGGAGACAGGTTACTGGTCTGGAAGAACTATTAGTCTACCCCAATATGGCCGTTCTGTTATTCTAACTTATATTTATATGGACTTCTTTACAATTGTTTTTAATTGCACTGTACTGTATTGTAGATTAAAATCAATAAAAATAATAGTTTCAGATCATTCCGTTACACTCAGTTTCTTGTATCAGATCACTCTCATACAAGAAAACCCAGTCATCTCTTTTGCTTTTCTTGTCCTTTATGTACAAGAAAAAATGTTTCATGGAGATATTCCCAACCCTGCATGCTAATGTTTGAACTACCAAAATCACCACCCTGTGCCCCCACTGCTCTTATAATTACATGGCTCTTCCTATGTTCTGAAACTAAAAGAGGGGCTAACACTGTACTGTTGCAGTATATCTAATGGGTTTATGCTGCTTTCCATCACTGCAGTACATGAACACCTGGTTGTTGTATTTTCCAGAGTCCTTCGACTGTAAGATACTTAGTGCAAATGAAAGCTATGGTTAATGTTTAGCTAACAAAATGAAAATATAGTAAAAACAAATTCAAGATACTTGCTTTTAAATTCTTAATATTCTGTGTGTCTAAAATATTTTGGTCTTTTGCCTTAATCTTTGCATGCATTTCAAAATAAAGCTGCAGAAATTGTCTCTATTCAGGACAACATTTAAGCATGTGTTTTCTGAATCAAAACCAGCATAACTATAGCATGAATGAGATGTTTCCAACGTACCCAAGCCAATCCAACCTTTACTTTTTCATTTAAAAACTTATTTGCCATAGTCTGCAGTTTGGAAATGAATAGGACAGAACTCTCTCTCTCAGCTGCTGATACAAATTATGGAAAATACATAAGAAAACTTAAAAATGAATTTTAGGTGTGTTTTAAAAGTTGAAAGATGAACGTCATATTACTATGGAGGCAGCATTTTAACAGAACAGGTCTTATCTGCTAAGAACAGTCTTATAATCAGTTATAACAACTAGATCTTATATAGCATTTTTCATCAACAGATGTCAGTGCTTCATGTTTTATTCTCAGTGTCACATCAGGTTTTATGCATATTAAATATCTTTAAATTAAACATATAAATTACAAAGATACATAGAATCCAACAAGACTGTATTCGATTATCAGTGTTCATTAAGTCTGGTATTCTAATTGGCAGTGAACATTTCCTCTGGATGTCAGAAATTGGCATAATCTCAGAATATCTATTCCAACCAGATTTTGAAACCAACCTGATTACTGCTTTCTTGGACATTCTATTTACTGTTTATATCAATAAATAATCTCCTTCATATTAAAAATTATAAAAAACGAGAACAAAGAAGCCAACAGAATCAGGTTAAGTGGAATATGGAATAAGATGGTGTGCCTTCTAATTTAGCCAACTCACATATTAATTCTCTGCCTTTTTAATTCAAAATGCCTCTAATTTTTTTTTAAATTAACTTTTACATTCTAGGATGAATTTGACCCCTTCAAGAGCACTGCTACTTCAAGAAGAAAGCCAAGATGATTCTGGATTCATTATATTAAATCACTGTAGAAATGCCCAGATATTGTGATGGAATCAGAAAATAATATGCAAGTTTTTAATCTAAACTATTTTTTGCCTTAATCTTTCACAAAAGAATTGAAACATTAACTCTCAGTGGTACTATGTATGTAACGTAACTTGACATATATATTGGGTTATCATATGTAAATACCATTGCCTAATAGTCAAAACTTGGAGAAATATTTCCTTTAGAATAATTTCAAAATTCTTCAGTGTGTAAAACTTCTGAAAGGTTGCTTTCATTTCTGGGACATATATAAGAGAATTCCTCCTTCTATAAAATTTTTCACTAGGTTTTGAATTTTTTAGAAGCATAAATTATGGATATGGTTTACGTATTTTACAGGCCTAATGAATGTTATATTAATTTGTATCTTGTTACGGTTGGAAGAAAAATTCAAAGACCCAGAGATGCACATTTCAGTATTAAAATTATTAATGCCAGGAAAGGGTCTGCTATTACTGTCTTATAAAATGTCAGAAATATAAAGAAGGGACTTTCTGCTCTGCAATTCTGGAAAATGTCAGAGTCTTTAAGTTGGGCTGCATATTTCTATAGGAGAGAATCCTGCATCTGTGCAAGTAAAACTCTCAGAAGTTGTCACGAGTCTTACGTGAGCGTGTGTGTGTGTGTGTATATATATATATAAAAGAGAGAGAGAGAGAGAAGGAATTGGGCCAGTAATGGATGAGACACCTGTATATTTGTGTAAATGACGTATTTCTTTCTTTTTAATTTCAGTATTCCCCCTGAAACAGTACTAATTCAGCAATACTTTTGTTTCCAGAGTGAGAACAGAAAAACATGATCAAAATAGGAATTACAACAGTTGCTATTTTTCACCACGCTTGCTGCTTGGCACTAAGAATCCATAGTGATTCACCATCAGTGATTTCAACTTGAGAGCTAGGAAAGTTTGGGGCTTAACCTCTCGGTGGACTCTGTGGCCACTTTGGTCTCCCTGACTGACTATCTCTGGGATGTTGGAGAAGCACTACACTACATACAGCAGTAGAGAGGGAAAATGTAGAAGCATTAATTATCCTGGAGTGAGATGGAGTTTAGTAGCTGTGTGGCCATGGTTCTGGTCAATTATGGCCATCCTGGATATGCATTCACTTCTGCAACTGTGAACCCAAATGAGCCACAGAAGTTCTGAGAACTCTGGAAGTTATCAGACCCAGGTCTTGTTCTTCAAGGTATTAAATAGTTGGTAGTAGTTCTGAGCGCAGTCTGTTCCCTTATGGTATCAGAACATGCTTGTTCTGGCAGTGTTTGCTATGATCTGATTCTTCTCCTACCTCTTTACCAGTGGCTATTATTGCTATGCATAGAAAGCTGCTGTAAATCCCTCTTTAAAGGGGGTATATTTATGTTTTGCTCTAGAAGCTGAAAATATGCAATTCATCAATTTCTAGCTGACATCAATTTCACTAGGAAGAAAAGTTACCTTGTATAGTTAAAATGTTTGTCATAAAAACCCCATATGAACAATGGATGTCTGTTGTATGGCACTGTGTGTTTTGCATTGAATCTGAAGGATTTAGATGTAAATGCAAATCTTTTTTATATGTTAGCTAAATAAAATTTGGTACTGAAAATAAATAGGTTCCTAATAGTTTTAAAAAAAAAATCTTCATTGCTTATCGCGTGTTTGAAGGGAGCTTTTTCTTTTTTTTTTTTTTTTTTTTTTTTTTTAATGGTCGCAAATCACACCGGTTATCAAGGAGCCAACCCTGCATTTTCTCTTTAGATATTTTGTCCATTTTCTGGAATCAAACATTTCCTGGGTCTTTTCCTGTTATCCCTTTTACATGTATCAGAGGGATAGCCGTGTTAGTCTGGATCTGCAAAAGCGACAAGGAGTCCTGTGGCACCTTATAGACTAACAGATGTATTGAAGCATAAGCTTTCGTGGGCGAAGACCCACTTCGTCAGATGCATGTAGTGGAAATTTCCAGAGGCAGGTATAAATATGCAGGCTAGAGATAACGAGGTTAATTGTCAGGGAGGGTGAGGCCCACTTCCAGCAGCCGATGTGGAGGTGTGAACATCAAGAGAGGAGAAACTGCTTTTGTACTTGGCTAGCCATTCACAGTTTTTGTTTAATCCTGAACTGATGGTGTCAAATTTGCAGAGGAACTGTAGCTCCACAGTTTCTCTTTGAAGTCTTGTCTTGAGGTTTTTTTGCTGCAGGATAGCTACCTTTAAATCTGCTACTGTGTGTCCAGGGAGATTGAAGTGTTCTCCTACAGGTTTTTGTATATTGCCATTCCTAATATCTGATCTGTGTCCATTTATTCTTTTACGTAAGGACTGTCCAGTTTGGCCAATGTATATAGCAGAGGGGCATTGCTGGCACATGATGGCGTATATTATATTGGTAAATGTTCAGGTGAATGAACCAGTGATGATGTGGCTGATCTGGTTAGGTCCTGTGATGGTGTCGTTGGTGTAGATATGAGGGCAGAGTTGGCACCGAGGTTTGTTGCAGGGATTGGTTCCTGAGTTACAGTTAGGGTATGTCTACACTACCCCCCTAGTTTGAACTAGGGGGTGTAATGTAGTCATAAAGAGTTGCAAATGAAGCCCGGGATTTGAATTTCCCAGGCTTCATTTGCATAAAGCTGGCCGGCACCATTTTTAAATGCCAGCTAGGTCGGACCCCGTGCCGCGCAGCTACATGCGGCACGGACTAGCTAGTTCAGATTAGGCTTCCTAATCCGAACTAGCTGAACGCCTCGTTCCACTAGGCGTACAGCTAGTTCAGATGGGAAGCCTAATCCGAACTAGCTAATCTGTGCCGCGTGTAGCCGCGCGGCACGGGGTCCGACCTAGCCGGCATTTAAAAATGGCGCCGGCCGGCTTTATGCAAATGAAGCCCGGGAAATTCAAATCCCGGGCTTCATTTGCAACTCCGTATGACTACATTACCCTGTAGACATACCCTTACTGTGGTGCAGTGTATAGTTGCTGGTGAGAATTTGCTTCAGGTTGGCGGGTTGTCTGTGGGCAAGAACTGGCCTGCCTCCCAAGACCTGTGAAAGTGAGGGATCATTGTCCAGGATGGGTTGTAGATCACTGATGATGCGTTGGAGAGGTTTTAACTGAAGACTGTAGGTGATGGTCAGTGGTGTTATGTTGGTTTCTTTCTTGGGCTTGTCTTGTAGTAGGAGGATTCTGGGTACATGTCTGGCTCTGTTAATCTGTTTCCTTACTTTCTTGTGCGGGTATCGTAGTTTCAAGAATGCTTGGTGTAGATCTTGTAGGTGTTGGTCTGTGTCTGAGGGGTTGGAGCAGATGCGGTTGTACTTTAGTGCTTGTCTGTAGACAATGGATCGTGTAGTGTGTCCGGGATGGAAGCTGGAGGCATGAAGGTAGTCATAGCGGTCGGTAGGTTTTCGGGATAGGGTGGTGTATGTGACTGTTACTTATTTGCACTGTGGTGTCCAGGAAGTGGATATCTTGTGTACACTGGTCCATGCTGAGGTTGATGGTGGGGTGGAAGCTGTTGAAATAGTGGTAGAATTCTTCCAGAGTCTCCTTCCCATGGGTCCAGATGGTGAGGATGTCATCAATGTAGCATAGGTAGAGAAGGGACGTTGGTGGACAAGAGATGAGGAAGTGTTGTTCCATGTCAGCCATAAAAATGTTGGCATATTGTGGGGCCATGCGGGTGCCCATAGCGGTGCCACTGGTTTGGAGGTATATATTGACACTGAATCTGAAGTAGTTGTATATGAGGATAAAGTCACAGAGCTCAGCCACCACTTGTGCTGTGGCATCATCAGGGATACTGTTCCTGACAGCTTATATCCCATCTATGTGTGGCATGTTTGTGTAGAGAGCATCTACATCCATGGTGGCTAGGATGGTGTTTTCTGGAAGATCACCAGTGCATTGTAGTTTTCTCAGGAAATTGGTGTCTTGGAGATCGTAGAATCATAGAATAATAGGACTGGAAGGGACCTCAAAAGGTCATCGAGTCCAGCCCCCCGCCCTCAAGGCAGGATCAAGCTCTGTCTACACCATCCCTGACAGATGTCTATCTAACCTGTTCTTAAATATCTCCAGAGAGGGAGATTCCACCACCTCCCTTGGCAATTTATTCCAATATTTGACCACCCTGACAGTTAGGAATTTTTTCCTAATGTCCAATCTAAACCTCCCCTGCTGCACTTTAAGCCCATTACTCCTTGTCCTGTCCTCAGAAACCAAGAGGAACAAATTTTCTCCTTCTTCCTTGTGACACCCTTTTAGATATTTGAAAACCGCTATCATGTCCCCCCTTAATCTTCTTTTTTCCAAACTAAACAAGCCCAGTTCATGAAGCCTGGCTTCATAGGTCATGTTCTCTAGGCCTTTAATCATTCTTGTCGCTCTTCTCTGTCCCCTTTCCAATTTCTCCACATCTTTCTTGAAATGTGGCGTCCAGAACTGGACACAGTACTCCAGCTGAGGCCTAACTAGTGCAGAGTAGAGCGGCAGAATGACTTCACGAGTTTTGCTTACAACACACCTGTTGATACAACCTAGAATCATATTTGCTTTTTTTGCAACAGCATCACACTGTTGACTCATATTCAACTTGTGGTCCACTATGACCCCTAGATCCCTTTCTGCCATGCTCCTTCCTAGACAGCTGAGAGTGCTGGTGGCGTAGGGTCTGAGTAGAGAGTCCACATATCCAGATAGTCCTTCAGTGAGGGTGCCAATGCCCGAGATGATGGGGCGTCCAGGATTTCCAGGTTTGTGGATCTTTGGTAGAAGATAGAGCCCCAATCAGGGTTATTCTAAGGGGGGTGTGTTGATTAGTTCCCTTTTACATGGTTTCCTACTTAGCTCTCAGATTTATAGTACAGTTGTGTGCGCTAGTTCAAGATTAATTGTAATCATTCTCAACTGTCACTATAAAACTCGGAGATACAGGTTGGACCTCCCTGGTTCAGTATCCTCAGGACCTCACTGGTTCCAAAGGAGGGAGTTTGCCAGACCGGGAAGGTCAATTCCATCCATCTGCTGAAGGGCCTCCAGGCTTTCCTGGTGTCTGTCAGCAGACTTAGTGGAGCTCCCTTGTCCCCAGGACACCAATTCCCAGCTCCGCTGGTCAGTTCCTGCTGCCGCAGCTCTGCTACCCCAGGGCCATCAGGCTCCGCTCACCCTAGGGCTGCCACAGCTCCAATGCCAAGGGGCTGCAAGGACTCCACTGTTCCAGAGCCACCGCGGCTAGGCTGCCGTGGCTCTCAGACACTGACACGGCCGCAGCTCCGGGATGCCGGGGCTGCTGGGGCTCCACTCCATGAGGTTGCCGGACTATGCTATCCCGGGACTACCGCGGCTTCCCAGCACAGCGCTGCCAGGGCTCAGGGCATCAGAGCTGCCATGGCTCCGCTCCTTGGGACTGCCAGGGCTTCCACAGATTCACTACCTAAGGGCCACCAGAGCTGCTGTGGAGCCACTGGGGCTCTGCTTCTCGGAGCAGTGAGGGCTGCCACGGCTCTGCTGTCCCAGGGCTGCTGTGGCCAACACCCTGGCCACCCAGCCCTCTGGTCCAGGGGCTGTCTGGTCCAGCAATATCAGTGGTCCTACTGCACCACTGATGTTGCTGGACCAGTGTATCTTGGACAAGAGAGGTTCAACCAGTACTACATTTATTATACCACAGAGAGGTAAAATAATCTCTTTACATATAAACATAACTAGTTTTATATTTAAACATTACCTCTACAACTGTTAATGTTGAGGATGGTATAGTCTGCTCTGGCCTGGTAATAATAACGAAGCACTATCAGAAATTGAGGTGTCGTGAATGATCTGTCCTCGTTAATATAGCTAACCTGTCCTGGCAAACAAATATCCTTAACAAAGGTTTTATTAATAAAAAAACAAATGAATTTTAGTAATAATGGATACACAAACTGAAAAAACAAGGATATGCCTTTACCCCCTCCAATTAATGAATATTAATGAATAAAGGCGGAGAAAAGAATAATCTGCATAAGGGTTTTTGTGTATATTATAGCATATTTTAAAATGGTTCTCAAATGACTTGTGTAATAGGTTATATATGAAAAACATGTTTGGTTTGATGTGATTGCTTTTAAGTTATCAGCGCTCATGAACTGTATAACTTTACAATGTTTGGTTGTACTTTTAAAAATGGATTGTTTTGTATTTCCAGTTACTCAAACCTCCTGAATCCAGTTGTGTAGTCTCTGTACAAATACAACTTATTGCTCTTAGTACAATTTTTGTTAATGTAAAATCTGCAAAAAGGGGTACTTGTATACCCTGTAACTGAACTGATTTCTCTTAGTTTTGAGAGATTATTCTCTAGCAAAAATTCCAGATATGTTTTCAGTGTTTTTCAGCACTACTTGTTCATGTGCCATATGCATATACAAATACACAAAACGATACAATACCTGTTCCTGGCTTGAACATTTCCTAGCATGCATTTACTGGTGACATTATACACATAGAAGAGCCCCTTATTTGAACATGAAGCCAATTTTTAGAGGTGTGTATCTTTTCTTATTTACAGCTTTTTAAAGTATAAAAATCAAAATTAACTTGACCTATTTAATCCTACTATTTAATGACAACACTTTTGTTTTCTTAATACGGACTTTAATATTAGGGACTTTAATATCTTAGACAATATTATTAGACTGTGACTTGCACTACCTGTATCAGTTCATTCAGTAGTTGTTCTATGGAGGATTTATCTTTAATAGGTCTCCTGTAGTAGCTACAAAATCCCAGAAACAATTATAGATATTTCATATTGTTTGGCCTAACAGAGGCCATTAGTGCCTGTGAATCTACTAATACCCTTGGTTCAAAGACAATATGTCTAACACAGAGAATCATAGGACGAGAAGGGAACTTTAGAGGACACCTAGTCG